AAACTAAAGCATAAAAAGAAACACATTAGGGACATGTTTGTCAATCACCCTTAAATCTTATTGCCTTTATACAGCCAGTGGATCACATTTCCAAAATTCAGCTTTTTATTAAGCAAACATTTTTGCGTAAGTTGCCTTCTCCTTATCTTTCTGCGCCTTTGTCTTTTGCTTGACTTCCAGCAATTCTGCCTGGAGAGCTTGTCTTCTGGTGCTGTCTCTGGAGCTTTCTTGAGACCAGCAGGTGCTGGATCATAGTCTTTTAATCCTTGCCACCCTTGAGCACTGTGGTACAGTGCCTTGGTCTCTGCTGGGTCTAGTTCAAGAGCCTCCGAACAGCCTCCAAATGGCTCCCTGCCAATTGGGCATCTCCAGTTTACAAGCTCCAATATCCAGCACACAGCTTAAAGCTATAGGTTGTAGCCTGGATCTACCTGCTTTCTCATTAGCAGCCTTTACACCTTCCACACACCTTAAAACTTTGGCATACATCTTTATGGTCATCTCCCAGTTCTGGGACTTAAAAAAAGTATTTCCAGTTTTTTTTAATGTCTTCTGTTATCAATAAAATTTTATCTACATCTTTTAAGTCTATGTCAGCATCCTCTGGGAAATCTGGATGGCTGTCACCAGAACCATCTTTGGGGAGTCTTCTCCTTCTTTCAATTCTCCACATTGGGCAACAACGCACAAGTGGGCAGGTTTTTCATCTTCCACTTCTATGGTTGCCAGCATCCTTGCCACACCCACTCCTTTAATAACTTGGCCCCGTTCCACATGTTTACCTCCAAATGAGGAGTTGGACCTGTTGTGATAAAGAACGGAGAACCATTTGAATTGGGTCCTGCATTTGCCATGCTCAACACACCTTCCCGATCATGCTGATAATAGAAGTTTTCATCTTCAAATTCTTCGCCATAAATACTTTCTCCACCTGTCCCATTCTGATTTGGCAGAATCATGAATGTCTCAATAATCTGATGTTTCCAAAGAGCACCTTTTGAAATGGAGGGGTTTTCCAGTTGTGAGTCCAATGCCTTTTCTCCCATACAAAATGCATTGGAATTTTCTGAAGTTTTAGGGACAATATCTGCAAACGACTCTAAGACAATTTTACCAACTTGCTCCCCTTTGACGTCCACATCAAAGAAGACTCGGGGTTGCTGGGGGGTCGGAGGGTTTAGTTTGCGGGGAAGGGTGCAACATCTTGACTTCCACATGTGTTTGGAAGAGGGCTGAAAGACACCTCGTATCATGTAGACAATTCAGCCTCCCCCCCCCCATTTTGTGTTACCCATGGTTCAGTCCTCCGCCTTTCCATTCACATAGTCATGCTTCATATCTTCAGCTCCCGAGGGCAAGAAGGGGGGGTACATGCCGTTTAGTTTGAAGAGTAGTCATCCTTCAAAGCTCCTTTTGGTGGCCTGCTTTTCCTGAGCCCGTCCTCCCTCCCTCCAGTCCATCTGCTTTCTAACCGCCGAGCAGTCCTTCTGGGCTAACTGTTAGACTATAGAGGGCCACTGGGAGCCACAACGGACTCTGTGGTTGTTGGTTGGGTTTAGTTTCAGTGGTGAAAAGCCCAACTTTGAGATCAGATATGGGTATGAGTCCTGGCTCCACGTGACTCTGGTCCCATATCTCAACCCCACTACACTTCCTTCTCCTCATCTGTGACACGGGGATGGGATGGTGCAGGGGCTATTAGAAGAAGCCCATGTGAAGTGTCAGCCCCAGGCTTGGCACAGCACTAGTCGGAGACGAATGTGGGTGCACCGCTCACCTTGGGTTGCATGGTCACAAGGTGAGCCTCAGGTTCTGATGACCGTCTCCTTGAGGAAAGACTCAACTCAAGCTGATGGCCATTACATTAATGCCCACTCATAGCAGCCCTATAGGACAGAGTAGACCTGCCCTTTTGGGTTTCCAAGACCACAAATCTTTATAGGAGTGGAAAGCCTTATGTTTCTCCTGCTGAGCCTCTGGTGGTTTCAAACTGCTGATGTTGTGGTGAGCAGCCCAGCGTGTGACTCACTACGCCACCAGGGCAGAGTGGGGGTGGGGTGGGGTGGGATGCTGCTCATTCATCTTTACATCCTCATTACCTCGCATAGTGCCTTAGGACAAAGTAGCACAAGTGCTGTTTAAAGTGAATTCCCTAGGACATTTTACATCCAAAATAACACTAGTTATGTTGTGATGCTGACAAAGTTGCTCTTCATTTATTTTTCTTCCATATTTTCTTCTGTGGCCCCAATCCTTTTCCAGACCACTTCCTAGTATGTGCTTTTTGAGCTGTTGGATGGCTTTGGCTCTCGGGCTCCGCCCCTCTATGCGGAACACAGCGAAGGCTGTGATGGAAATCCATAGCCAAAGCTGCCTGCCAGGGGTCCCAGCCTTGGCAGCCCCTTCCTGCTCATTACAGCTGCAGCCATGGACATCTGCTCAGCACCCTCTCACCCTCTGGTTCAACCTCCCTGCCCTTCTGTTGCAGATTTGTCCGCCCAGGGGAGTAAGTACATCGATGAGGAAATTCAAAACGCTGTCAAGGGAATGAAAGAGATAAAAGCCCTCATGAGCGAAACAGACGAGGAGCGTCAGACACTGCTCAACACCCTAGAGAAAGCCAAGAAGCAGAAAGAGGTACGGGTGAGCCACGTGACCTTGATCCAGTCCTGCTGGAGGGCAGAGGCAGATGATCCTTAATCTGCAAGGTGCTTTACTGGGTTGCCATAGTGACCTTCAATCCATCCAGGGCTGAGTCAGCTGTCGTGAAATAATAGAGGTGTACAGTGGTGTGAGTGGCGATACTGGGAGGGTAGAGGGAGAGTGGGTTGGAAAGAGGGAACCGATTACAAGGAACTATATGTGACCTCCTCCCTGGGGGACGGACAACAGAAAAGTGGGTGAAGGGAGACGTCGGACAGGGCAAGATATGACAAAATAATAATTTATAAACTATCAAGGGCTCATGAGGGAGGGTGGAGCAGGGAGGGAGGGGAAAAATGAGGACCTAATGCTGGGGGCTTAAGTGGAGAGGAAATGTTTTGAGAATGATGAGGGCAATGAATGTACAAATGCGCTTTACACAATTGATGTATGTATGGATTGTGATAAAAGTTGTATGAGCCCCTAATAAAATGATAAAAAAAAAGAAAGAATAGAGGTTTACTAGCTTTTGAAAACTTCAGGGGGTGAGATCTCAGATCTGTTTTTTTTTTGGTTACAGATCTAGCCCAGGGCTTGACGCTCAGATTCAATAGCTTTTTTTCCCAAACCCTTAACAGTCTCATGTGCTTTGCACATGTCATTAGGAGGCACCAGTCCCTGGAGAAGGATCTCAAGTGTGGGAGAGGGTCAGCACCGAAGAGGAAGGTGGATTGCCACAGTGGTTACCTCCACAAGCGCAGGCATAGGAAGAATTGGGAGAAGGATGCAGGAGCCGGCAGCGTTCCATTCTGTTGTTGCTGCAACAGCTGTGCACAAGCTCCAAGCTCCGCTTTGGATCATTTGGTGGCTGGAGCGAGGGGAGGGATGGAGCCTACTTTGAGGAGCTTACATTGAGTAGTGGAAATGTGATTGGGGTCAAGCCAGACACACACCTCTTTCCTCCTGTCTTTCCAGAGCCGCTTTCTCTCTCTCTCTCTTTCTTTCATAAAGAGACTCCTTGAGTCTGATAGTGAGCATAGCAGGTTTCAAACCACCGTCGCCACCACCACAAACAGTTGCCATTGAGTCTGAACCAACTCATGGCCATGCCCCTGTGCATCAGAGCAGAGCTGTGCTCAGTAGAGTTTTCATTGGTTAATTTTTCAGACTTGGGTCAGCAGGCCTTGCTTGTGGGGCACTTCTGGACTTGAACCTCTGATCTTTTGGTTGGTTATCAGTTAAGCAAGTTAGTTGTTTGCACCGCCCAGATCAACAAAACCAACACACCACAATTCAATAAATAATCTGTCATTTTTTAAACTAGTCTTTTTTAAAAAACTAGTCTTATTGAGACATAATTCACATATCATCGACTTCAATGGCTCGGTCATATTAAAAATGAGTTGTACAATAATCACTAATAAACGAATTATTTTTAAAACCAGTAATCTCCACTGGCGTGTCCTAGACACCCTTGCCACCTGACCCTACTGGAGGAGATGCCAGGATGAAGAGATGCTCAAATGGGGCCACCTGCCATCGTGACCCATAATGCATATTAAAATGGTTTCAAAGACTCTGGACATCTTGCAGTAAAGAAACATGAGCAACTTTGTAAGTTAGCTCAGTTTTTTCTTAAATCTAAGTGGCCTGGGAATGCATTTCTGTCCTGATGGCTCAAACATGATTCCAGCAAAGTTACTTAAGGAAATGTTGGCCTGGATGCAACTCCATAACTTTTCCTGAAAATGTGAAGCCCTTTCTTAGTGTCCATATTAGTTCTCACAATGGTATGAGAAGCCTCAATAACTCCTGAAAAAGGGGCAAGTCCTGGTCTCAGATGTTCGCGGTGTTATTGTGGGTGTTTGATATTCGACAACCGTATTTTATCATTAACTGCACCCTTTGGAAGTATTCACTGTGGCATCTTAGGTGAGGAATATGTGGACCAGAAGGACAGGAAGTGGACAGTATGGCTGACAGGTGTTTCCGATCCATGCAGGTGTGGGGTCCTTCCTCAGCATGGAGTCGGGATAGAAAGTGGGATGAAGATGCTGCCAGCTACAGCCCCTCTGGAGTTGGGTCCTTAGAGTGTAGCTTTGCTCTGGGCTATGGACAGTTTAGTTAATATTTTCTGGATATACACTCGCTTATACCGGTTTTAATATAGAAAAGTAGAAGAGATAGGGAAGGAGAGGAAGGAAGTCCATCATCCTTTCACCTGAGACCAATTCACTATTAATGTGGGATATACTTCCTACTACCATATACACCTGCCCATATATACTCTTTTTGCAGTAACTGTTGACAAAATCATGAATTTTAACATGAAAAACTGCTTTGCATATCATTTTAACTTGTAATGGCATAATTACCGACGCTTTGTATGTAATGAATCTTGCTTAACTTGTTCTTTATTTTTGAGAATCTGGGTGGATTCCAGTGGTTTTTTTTTTATTGTTATGTTTTGCCATACAAATATCCTTAGGCATAAGGGTTTTCTTTTTCTTTATTTCAGGAATTCTCTGGGATAGATTCTTAACGACTTATTGGGTCCAATGGTATGCGCAGGTTGGAAAGTTTTGATAGTGGTAGGGACTTGGGTTTTAAAAGCTTGTCTGTTCCCATTGCGTGCCAGGAACCAAGGAGGTACAACAGGAAAGTAAGAGTCAGCCAGGGTGCAGCTGCTTTGACCAGTGACACTTACATGGCAGGAGTTGAGGATAGAAAATTCGATATAAGTGAGAGGTAGAGTCCAAGGTTAAGACTGTTACTGTGATGAGCCAGTAAAAGATGTCCACATAGGTAACAGGAGTTACTTAGAAAAGACTTTAAGGAACAACCGGCATCCTGGAGGCTGTGAGCGTGTTTAGAGGTCAGCGGGGAGGGAATTCCAGGTAGGCAAAGGAAGGCAACTGCGAGCCAAAGCAGGGCTGGGAATCTACCCTGTATTGCCCAAAGGCAGACTGCCTGGGAAGTGGAGGGCCTCTCAGGCACTGCATGAAGAGCTGCTTAGGAGGAGAGAGAGGTGGCCTCTGTAACCCAGCCTCTGTCCTGCAGGATGCCATCAAGGTGACCAGGGATACCGAAATGAAGCTGAAGGCATCCCCAGAGGTGTGCAATGATACCATGACGGCCCTCTGGGAGGAATGCAAGCCTTGCCTGAAACAAACCTGCATGAGGTTCTACACTCGCATCTGCAGAAGTGGCTCTCCGGCCGTTGGCCATCAGGTGAAAAGGGAAACGCTTCCAGGGTGCAGCCTAGGTTCTGCGTGGGGACGAGGACTTGAACAGACAGGGTCACGATCTTTATCCCAGTGTAGAATAAAGTAGGCCTGTGTAGGGACTCCCTAGCTGAGTGGAAGGATGATCGTCTCCTCAGCTCTGACCACAGGCTCAGGCCATTGTTGGAGGAAGCATCAGTCAGGAAGGAGGCAGACTCTACCTTTTATCTCCATGTTTCATTTCATGTGCCGCATACAATTGGTTAAGAGTGACTGTGTCTGGGCTCAACGCGCCATAATCAATTGGTGATATCTGCCACGAGTACAGAAATGCGGTGTAAAAGCACCCACACCATCTATTTGTCGTCCTAGTAGCCAGATGCTCATGCTGGAGGACTGTAACAAACATAACAGGACCACAACCGACAAACATGTTTCCATACAGGTAGAGGGGAGGAAGTTGAGTATTTTGAATACATTAATATCGATCCTGTTCTTAACTGTGACCCTCACTTGGTTGGGTCTCGTGTGAATTTTGCTATTCCCAGTTTAGACTGGGTAGGTTTCCATGATAGCTAAAGATGACAGTGCACCAGTCCCTGAAGTCATGGGCCTTGAGTGTCCCTAAGCCTATCTCTAAGCTCTCTCCTCTTTGGAGGAGGTTGAATGGAAAGGCATTGACATTGACCTCAAGGGGGCCAGTCTCACTTGCTGGCCTTTGGTCACTCACTGTGACTCTGAAGAGGCTGAGGGTCAAAAGAGAGGCTCCAGGGCCTGGGGCCTCAGTGAGCGACTCCTAACGGTGGCCCATTTGGGCTCTTTCAGCTGGAGGAGTTCCTGAACCAGTCGTCTCCTTTTTACATCTGGATGGACGGTGACCGTGTTGACGCCCTGATGGAGAGCAACCAGGAGCAGACCTACATGATGGATGACATGGAGGGCCGCTTCAGCCAGCTGTCCAGAGTGCTGGACGAGCTGTTCCAGAGCCGGGTTTTCAGGCCCGAGCCCCTGAAGCCTCTCTTCCGCCTGCCCTTCGGCTCCATCCATGACCATTCTTTCCCTAAGACCCACTTCTTGTACCCCAAGTCCCGTGTGGTCCGGGATACGGACCCTTTCTTTTTCCATAAGCCTTTGAGCTTCCTGGACACCTTCCAGCCCTTCTCGCACCTGATCCAGCAGGCTCAACAGGCCATGGATATCTCCCACCAGCCCCTGCTGGGGGGGTTTGCTACAGGTTTGAAAGAGGGCTTGTTCTTCATCGGCAGGGGTGGGAACTATCTGTCTGTTGATCACTGAGCAGCCTCCTTAGATGCTGTGAACCGCGCCAGGTGTGGCTCATTTCTCCCTCCTCGCCAGGCAGCAAGCCCCCTTGAAGGCAGAAATGGGGTCCTCCTTGTAGCTTCTGAATAGCACTGTTTCATGCGCTATGAATATGCAACAGAAAATGTAGATATGTTTTAATTCAAAGCTCTCCTGTGTTTCCTAATCCCTTCCCACCCAACACCAGTCTCTCTGGTTTGACTGGTCTCCGTTTGGTTGGGAACGGATTGCAAATGAGTCAGATAACATGCAGGGCAAACAATGCCACGCTGTCCAAGAGAAGTACAAGCAGTTCAGGGTGTATGCAGGGAGGGAGGCCTCATCAGATGGAGAGGCGGGCAGAGCTGGTGGAACCACAGGAGCGTAGCCTGGAGGTGGGCAGACAAACACCATATCCAGGGCCCCGTGTGTCCTCTGCTCTGTGCGGTCCCTGACACGGACCACCTTCCAGAGGCACAGGTCTGCCAACTCCTCAACTCCAGAACCCTCGGAAAGGGCCATGCTGTTAGGTGGAAGGGTTCACCGGAGTGTGTGCGGCCCCGCTCTGGTCGGCTGAATCGCCCATGAGAGCCCCTTCCCTCTGTGTCTCCAGAACACAACAATGATAGCCGCCTGGTGTGCCGAGAAATACGCCGCAACTCCACGGGCTGCCTGAAGATGAAGAGCCAGTGCGAGAAGTGCCAGGAGATCCTGTCCGTGGGTGAGTCAGGTGGCCGCTGCAAACTGTGGCCCTATCTTTGGGCCATTTGTTCCTCCCTAGCGCCGCCTGTACCGGAGCCGCACAGGAGTCCAGCTCCCAGCTCTCCGGTCCCCCCCAGCCTTAGCCTCACGCAGCCCTCAACCGAACACTGCGGCTGGCCGCCCAGCTGGGGCAGACAGTTAGCAAGCTCACCTTCAAACTGAAAGGTTGGCTGTTCGAGCCCACCCAGAGGTGCCTGGAAAGAAAAGACTGGAAATTTACTTAGAAAGAAAAACTGCCCTGGCGAACCCCCGCTTCTGCGCTGACCCACAGGCAGTCATCGTGAGACAGCAGCCGGGGGTCGTTTTTCCTCCCCAGGTGAAAAATCCTGTTGTGGATGAGGCAGTAGGTGCGGTGTCTGCCACACCACCTGGCACGGGGTAGGCAGATGTTCTGTAGTAGTGAGGCTGGGATTTTTTTTTTTTTCCTTTTAAAATAGTCATCCTCCTTTGATTTTGTTGTCATTGTTGTTATACGGATCCCAAGACCCAAGTGTTGTTATGAGGGCATTAGTTTGTGATTCATGGTGCCCACTCCTAGGACAGGACGAAACATTGTCCCGTTTTGTGCGAGCCTCGTGATTGGTGGTGGTATGGTCCAGTCTGCTATTGCAGCCACCGTGGAAGTTGAATGCCAGCAGCCTCGTTTTCCAGCATGTGCCCGCAACGTTCTGCTCTGCTCCCTAGGGCTTTTTAGTTTGCATTCACTCATTTCTGATCGCCAGGCCTTTCTTCCTGGTCTGTTTCCGTCTGAAAGCGCTACTGAAACATGCACACGATGCTGGAAATATTGGTGGCATATTTTCCAGCGTCCAGCCACTGCCGTGTGACAAACTGGTAGTCGGGGGGTGGGTCTGGCATAGTACCCGTGCTCAGGATTCTATGCAGACGATGGCATTTTAGAGCTAACTCGCCAGGGTGCCAGGTAATGTTTAAACATTTTACAAACACATATTCCTTTCCTTGCGACAACCCGATGAGCCGGGTCCAGTTGAGCCGGGTCCAGTTATCGTCTCTTTTCACAGAGGAGGCAACTGAGCCGTGGAAAGGTTATGGGACTGACTGCCCATGGCGCTTTCACTCCCCAGTGGGGCACAGGGATCCCACCTGCCCTAACTGCGATATTGTCTTGACCTGCGACAGCGCTGGCCTGTGGGTGCCCCGGCACTGTTTTCTTTAATTGTCTGCTTCTCTATGCAGAGGGAATACTTCATTTCACGGGTGCCCCCACCCCCCAAGATTTCATTAGGTCTAGACACGGACTAAATTCTTCTTACATTGAAATAACAGATTTAAAAGTATTTAGAGTCATTCCTGGTATACAGTAGCACATGCTTGCAAAGAGTTAATTGTTTCCCTTGCGAATAGCTTATCAGTCATGCAGCTTTGCGCTTACTTAATGTGTTTGGATTTAGGGGGGGGGGCAGACCTTGGGAGTCTAGTTAAATATTCCTAGCTTCATCCCTGTACTTTTAGAAACCACTGCAAAATAAATACTAAGGCCACAAGAGGCTCCGGGAAGAAATATAAATAGCTGTTGTTGGGTGCTGCTGAGTGTGCTTTGATTTATAGCCGCACTGTGTACCAGAGAGGGAACACTGCCTTGTCCAGCGCCATCCTCACAATCATTCAGCCTGAGCTCACCATGGCAGCCGCCCTGTCAATCCATCTCATCGGCGGTCTTCCTCCTGCCCGCCGACTGTCTACTTTACCAGGCGTGAGGTGTTCTTGGCACACAGTAGCACACACACAGGGACGTGCCCCTCTTGGTCAGATGTCTGAAGTACTGGGATGACGTTTCATCATCCATGCTGATAAGAAGTATTCTGGCTATACTTCTTCAGAGACGGTGTGCTGGGGATTCTGGCAGCCCCCGGTTCACTCAATAGTTTTCACCCACGTGGTACTTCCACAGCACCAATCCTCCTCCCGCCTTCCTTCGTCATTGTCCAGCTTTTGGATGTGTAAGGTGATTGAAAAGACTGTGGCTTAGGTCAGGGTTAGCCTTCTAAGAGACATCTTTGCTGCTCAACACTTTACAAAAGTTTTCTCTTTCTCAGATTTGCTGCCTTTCTTGGCTGCTGCTCCCTTAAGTATTGATTGTGGATCAATTCCTCTCAACCTAAAACCAAACTCACTGCCATCAGTGTTGAATCATATGACCCTAGGGGACAGGGTGAAACTGCCCCTGTGAGTTTCCCAGATGGTAACTCTTGACAGGAGTAGAAAGCCCGTCTTTGTTCCATGGAGCTGCTGATGGTTTCAAACTGCTGATCTTGCAGATCACAGGCCAACACAAAACCTCAGCACCACCAGGGCTCCTCCTCGAGCCTTCTCACTTTCTAAGACCTTCAGTGCAGTTTGTAGGTCTCCTTTCAATAATGTTGCTTCTTAATCCTATGCTACCCCTTGAGATGGTTGAATATTGACCAATTCTTTTTGGTACAGTGACTCTGTGTATTCCTTCCAGCTTCTCTTGATGGTTCCTGTGTTGTTCAGTATCTAGGCCATAGAATCCTTCGGTGTTGCCACTGGAGGCTTGACTTTTCTCTTCAGATAGTTCCATTTGAGAGATGCTAACTGTGCTTTCCCTTTTGGTTTCCTAAATCCAGTACTTTGCACATTTCATTATACTTCCGTGTCTTCTTAATCTGCACGTTGACATTTTATCTTCAGCTTGTTTATACCATCATTTATTCCACTCCCTTTAGCGACTCTACATTCAAGTTTCAGAATTTCTTCTGACATCCATTTTGACTTTTTCTGGTTTTTTTGTTTGTTTGTTTGTTATCCTTAACCAGTATTTTAAATGACCTTTTGCTTCCTTAACATGTGATGTCATCCCTGGCATTTGGTCGTTAGTGTTTTGTATGTCAAATGTATTCTTGAGATGGTCCCTAAACTTAGATGGATATATATATCCAAAATGTGCTTTGGCTCTTTGTGGGTTTACATTAATTTTCTTATCCTTCACTTTAACTTGCATAGAAGCAGCTGATGGTCTGTTCTGAAGTTGTTTCCTTGTTCTGACTGATGATATTGAGCTTATCCATCATTTATTTCCATAGCTTAGTCAGTTTGGTGCCCATGCATCCCACTGTAAGGTTCATGTGTATAGTCACCAATTATGTTGTTGAAAAAAGGTACTTGCAATGAATGAGTTGTTGGTCCGACATAATTCTATTACCTGATCTCTGAGTCATTTCTGTCACTAATGCCATGTTTTCCATCTACTAACTCTTCTTTGCCTCCAAATTTCACGTTCTAATCACCAGTAAGTACCAATTCATATTGATTGCATGTTTGATCAATTTCAGACTAAAGAAGTTGGTGAAAGCATACACTATCTTCAACTTTAACATTACTGGTTGTTGAGTGGTGGAGATATAAATCAAAACAGATTAGTAGACAATTAAGTAGGCCTCTTGGGCTTTCCCCAGATAGTACAGTAGTCATTATAGCATTAATTATATATATAGTGCTTCATTACAGTAAGAAGCTCTGGTGGCATAGTGGGTTACATATTAAATTGCTAACTGCAAGTTGGTGGTTCAAACTCACCAGCTGCTCCGTGGGAGAAAGATGAGGTCTTCTACTCCTATAAAGGTTTAAAGTCTCAGAAACTGAAAGGGGCAGTTGTACTCTGTTTAACTGAGTCACCGTGAGTCGGAATCTACTCGATGTCAGTGAGTTTGATTTTTGGATAATAAGAAAGTTAATCAAGTTAGAGCAAGAAGAGACATTGCATGCCTGGGCTCAGATTGCTCCCTCTGCCACTGATCTTCATGTCTGCTCACCACAGCTTACTTAAACACTGCCCTTTATGGAGGAAGATTTGCTGCTTGTTTATGGTGCTTGCTACTTACTGCATGAGCTCTGAGGGTGGTGTAAACAGTTTATTCTTGGCTGCTGGCCTACAAGTTGGTAGTTTGAACCCAAAGGCCGGATGGAGCTCAGAAAGCATTATGGAGCCCTGTTCTGCTGCCCTGAGTTGGAATCGGTCTGGTGGTGATGGATTTGTTGCTTGTGCCTATACGAACGTGTTCTGAAGGGAAGTTCTAGCCTAGGATTTCTCAGCTTCAGCACTCATGATATTTGGGACTGATCATGCTCAATCATGGGGGCTGTCCTGTGCAGTTTCGGATGTTTATCAGCAATCCTGGTCTCTACCCAGTAGATTCCAGCAGCAAAGCCTCCTGAGCAGCTGTGACATTCAAAAATGTCTTCGGACATTAGGAAGCATCTCCTGGAGGGGTGGAATGGGGATGGTGCCCAGTTGAGAATCATCACTTCTTTAGACAGAGTCTTGGTTGTCAGTGACTTTATGTATCGCTCAATTATGTCTCAGTAAACATCAAGGTTACTCATTACATTTTTTTTTTCTCATTACATTTTTATCACCCTGGTTCCTTGAGAATAATCCCTTTTCTTATCCTACATCCTGTTTTATTTTATTTTTATATAAATGTTTCTAGGTCTCTTTACCCATGACTAGAAGTTGGATGTTCCCTTTGGATAGCCCCACCCTCATTCCCCTGATATTAAAAAATAATAACTTAATGAGAGGAAGACAATCATTTTTTAAAGAGATGGAGCGTAACTGCCAAGTCTCAGAAACATTGCAACCTGCAGCAGGCACTGGGCAGTGGGAGGAATGCTCTCTCTTGTCTTTGCTCTCCTGGTGAGCTCGGCGACCAGCTGTGGCTGGTCAGGTGAGCAGCTGAGGACTCCCCCTCCACCTGGCTGTGATGCTGAGGAGAACTGGGTAGCCTGGGTGGCCTGCTCCTGCATGGGCATTTGGGGTGAGATTCTTTGCCAAGGTGCTCAAAAGCCAAGATAGAAGAATGATCCAACATCACAGACCCGGAATAGGAAGAGTCCAACTTTAGGGGTTAAAGATTTTGGGTTCAATGCTGGCCTCACAGATGAAGAATTCTATGACTTTGAGCAAGGCCTTTACTTCTGTGGGACCCGGTTTTATTACTGGTAATTAAACCCGTTGCTATGTAGTTGATTCTCCTCCATAGTGGCCCCATGTGTGTCACAGTGGAACTGTGCTCCACAGAATTTTCTATGGCTAATTCCGGGGGCATTCGATCACCAGGTCTTTCTTCTGAGGCACCTCTGGGTAGATTAAAATTTCCAGCCTTTCAGGTAGCAGTCACGCAGTTTCACAATATATATCCCCTGTGGACTCCTGTAAGTAAATAAGGCAATTCTGAAATCCCAGTCGCTGTATTCATCCGAAGCACCTTACCTGGTCTGTGATCCATAGTGCACAAATAGTAGGTATAATAGATCCATGCTGCACAAATAGGTGGTATAAGTAATAGGACTCTTTCCCTGAAATGAATCCCGAGAGGGATGAGGCAACAAGGCTAGCTCCTGGCCTGAGGAACAGAAGATTCCGGATCAATGCTATTCAGAGTACATTCCTTCCCTCACCACTGTTACCCGTCTCCAAGGAGATAAAGACCTTCGCCTAAATAAGTCAGTTAAGCCACTAAGCAAGTGCACTGTTTGGTCCAGCTGATTTTGTTGTTGTTGTTCAGAGCAAGGTCTTGTTGAAGGCAAGAGTGGGCTGACTCACCTTCTGGGGCAAGCTCTTCCTTTTGCTGTGGGCTGAGAGTACAGTGGGTGGATGGCTACTTGAAATAGCACCGCTTTAGAGTCTGCTGCTGGGGGCCCATCTCCATGCATGCATCATTCTGATTTGCCTTCCCTTCACATTGCTAATCTTTGTGCAGACTGTTCTGCCACCAACCCTGCCCAGGCCCAGCTGCGACAGGAGCTTAAGACTGCCCTCCAGATTGCGGAGAAATTCACCAAGCACTACGACGAGCTGCTCAAGTCCTACCAGCAGAAGATGTTCAACACCTCCTCCCTGCTGGACCAGCTCAACCAGCAGTTTAGCTGGGTGTCCCAGCTGGCTAACAACACCCAAAACAGCGACCACGCCTATCTCCAGGTCTACTCGGTGAGTCCTGTCCCCCAACACACACGGTGCAAATAGCTTTGCTCATTCTCTATCTACACTGTAGCTATTTTCAAGGGTCAGCTTCCTTGGTAAAACTTTCCTGGATATCCCACAAGAGAGCAACTATCTTATCTTTCCTATCATTCCTCAGGAGGTCCCGTGGCACAGTGGGTAAGTGCCCGGATGCCAACTGCAAGAGGTCAGCAGTTGGAAGCCACCAGCCGCTCTGTGGAAAAGAAATGAAGCAGTTGGCTTCCATGAAGATTGGCAGTCTTGGAGGCCCTATAGGGCTTCACACTATCCCCTAGAGCTACTCTGCCCTATAGAGTCATTAACAGCCCTAGTGGGGTGCAGTGGTTACATGTTGTGCTGCTAATTGCAAGGTCAGCAGTTTGAAACTACCAGCTGCTCAGAAGGAGAAAGACAGGGCTCTCTACTCCCATAAAGAGTTACAGTCTTAGAAACTCTCAGAGATAATTCTACCCTGCCCTATAGGGTCGCTATGAGTCAGTGAATGTCACTGGCTGGCAGTGAATGAGTTGAGTGATAGAGATATTATGAGTCAGAGCTGATTTGATAGCAATGGCTGAGATAGTGCCCTACCCAAATATTAGATTGTTTCTTTCGTTGTCTTTGTACCTAAGATTTGTCCAGGGGTACCAAGGTGGGGTCTTGAGGCGATGTGAGCCTCCCTAGAGGATAAAAATGGGGTTAAGATATCCAAGGGGGGCACTTTGGCTTTTGATTGTCAGGAAGTAAAAATACCGTCTATGTCGTTGGGATGAATGCTCATAGTTCAGGGCAGTACGCTCGGAGGATCCCGTTGTATAGACTAGGAAAGTGAGAGGTTCAACAGCGTGCCCAAGGGTCAATCACTGAGTGCTGGCCCGCGGGAGCATCCGCACCTGTCGGCCTGGCAACCTCGCCTGTTCTCTTTTCCCAAAGCTGCTGCCCCCGCCCAGGAGCATGACTCTGGCCTGGTGCATTGCTCCCTGCCGCAAAGCTCCTCTCCAGCGCTGGGAGCCTTTGTGCTGTTGCTGATTGGGACAGGCCAGGCCGGGAATTAATTGCCTTGCAAGCCATGCTCCCCTCTGTGCTTTCCCTTGGGCCTAGTCCTTTGTGGGTGGCATTTGGACCCTCAAACAAGTGTTTAGGAGCCAGGGCACCTTTGCTCACCGAGTTGCACAGACGTCTAGATTTCTCACCCAAAGACGCGGCCTTTCCAGTTCTCACGACGGAGTGACGAGCGCTCCCACGCATGCGTCGAGCTCCCTCTCTCTTCTCGCCCGCTTCCCCGCAGGTCACTGCCAGAGCACCTGGCTCCAAGTCCGAGGACAGTGAGGTGATGGTGCAGCTCTTTGATTCTGACCCCATGACTCTGACGGTCCCCAAAGAAGTCGCCTGGGACCAGCCTAAATTTATGGAGATCGTGGCAAAGAAAGCGCTGGACCAGTTCCGCAAGAAGCACCAGTAAGCGAGCGGGCGACGCCAAACAAACCCGCATGAAGCTCCAGGTCCCTGCTGGCGAGCAGGGCTCCTCTTGCAGCCCGGGCCCAGGAACCCAGGGGGAATTTGATCTTTGCTTTGGAAGATGCTCCTTCTGAGTTGATAAGAATTTAAGTGTTGGAAGTTTGAATCCTTCTTTTCTTACTCCCACCCCCACCCTTTAAATTTTTTGTTGTTGTTGTTTCCCCTCCAGAGAGGAGTAAGATGTGAATGCTGCTTTCCACGTGTGGAGCTTCTGAGTCCAGTCCTTCTGGGATAAAGCCAGGCCAAGAGTTCCGCACAGCACCAAGTAGCTCCACCCCTGTTTCCAAGCCCCTCCCTCCCACCCGTCCCGCCCCACCACACCTCCCTCCTGGAGTCTGCACTCGCCTGCTGGCAGTTGCCGCAGTGGGAACCACTTCTTCCATTTGCAAGTAATTCAATAAAACTGCCTTGCGATCAATCGGACTGCTTTGGCATGTCCTGTTTGTGTGTCCGCTGTTTGTCCACCTCCCCCGTTCTATTTTAGGTATAAAAAAAAAGGAAGGGAGGGAGGAAAGAAAGAAAGAAGGGCGGTGGCTAAGACGGTCTCGGATTGAGAATTAAAAAAGTATGAAGGTTCAGATTTTGCTTTCAGAGAGAGAGATGAATCTCAGCAAGCCAACTGACATATTTATGTAAAGCAAATCTTTTCTAATTGCTTTAGAAAACCGTAGATCCATTCTAATAAGAGAGAAACTTCCGGAAGGAGCACGTTGAAAATAAGAGTAAAAATAACCTCACAAGCATACTGGGTGTTTCAAGAGCACAAAGTGGTAACTTCCTTATGGAAACCCTGGTCCCCGAATGGCAAAACGAAGCCGTTTTCTTCTGAGTTGTATGATCACGAGTCTTTGTGGCCCCTCCGTGGCCCTGGTGCTGTGTGTCCACTGCCAATCCATACAGCCTGCCCGTCTCTCCCTAGTCCACAGGGAATTCTCTGCCTACGACCTTCCTGGTGACTTGTCTAGTTGGCATCGAGTGAGTGCCAAAGCACGGTGCCCCTGTGTGAGAGGCAGACTGATCTACAGGGCTTCCAGTGGTTGGTTTTTCAGGCGCAGATTACCAGGCCTTTCTTCTGAGGCTCCTCTGGGTTGATTTGAATCTCAGACCTTTTGGTCAGCAGTTGAGCACATTGACCCCATTTCCACCATCCAGATGACTTGCTACTTCTGAAAACATAGTTCTGTAACATACCATAGCCTATGTTACCAGTAGCCTGCCCTGCCTAACCTGATACACATCTCAACATTAAGTAATCAAGCCTTTCTACTTAGCAATGCTTTCTAATTATAGAATCCTCTTCATCACATACACATGAGGTGGTAAAAAATATCTATGTGTGTCTCATAGGTTGGTAGCAAAGCCCACATGTAAATGAATACTTAGACTATGCTTAAGTCACTGTGCCTGGTGTCTCTGAAGTTGCCAACACATCAGTTACAGGAGCATCTAATTTATTCTTAAGCATGAGTTTCTGTCAAAATAAGTTAATATTTTAGGATTGCTGGCACAAAAACTCACAGAGCCCTGGTGGTATAGTGATTATGCATTGGGCTGCTAACTGCAAGGTCAGTGTTTCACAACCACTAGCCACTCAATGGGAGAAAGGTGGGTTTTTCTACTCCTGTGAAAAGTTACAGTCTCAGACATTTACAAGGGCAGCTCTATAAGGGTCACTATGAGTTGTGGCATTAGAAGGCATTTTTTAAGTCATTTTATTGGGGGCTCTTACAGCTCTTATCACAATCCATCCATCCATCCATTATGTCAAGCACATTTGTACATATGTTCCCATCATCATTAAAAAAATTGTCTTTCTACTTGAGACTTTGGTATCAGGTCCTCATTGTTTCCCCTCCTTTCCCACCCTCCCTTCCTCACAAACCCTTGATAATTTATAAATTATTACTTTTTCATGTCTTTCACTGACCAATGTCTTCCTTCACCCACTTTTTCTGTTGTCTGTCCCCCCGATGGATTATATGTAGATCATTGTGATTGGTTCCCCCTTTCTTCCTCCACCTTCCCTTCCCCTCCTGGTATCGCTACTCTCATTATTGGTCCTGAGGGGTTTATCTGTCCTGGATTCCCAGTGTTTCCATCTCTTATCTGTACCAGTGTACATGCTCTGTAGAATTGGGATCATGATAGTAGGGGGAGAAAGCATTAAAGAACTAGAGGGAAGTTGTATGTTTCATCAGTGCTATACTGCACCCTGACTGGCTCATCTCTTCCTTGTGACCCTTCTGTAAGGGGATGTCCAATTGTCTACAGATGGGCTTTGAGTCTCCACTCTGCACTCCCCCTCATTCACATCGACTTGATATTTTGTTCTGGGTGTTTGATGCCTGATACCTGATCCCATCTACACCTCATGATCACACAGGCTGGTGTACTTATTCCATGTGGGCTTTGTTGCTTCTCAGCTAGATGGCTGCTTGTTTATCTTCAAGCCTTTAAGACCCCAGATGCTATGTCTTTTGATAGTCGAGCACCATCAGCTTTTTTCAGCACATTTGCTTATGTAATCATTTTTTCTTCAGCGATCTTGTTAGGAAGGTGAGTATCACAGAATGACAGGTTATTAGAACAAAGTGTTCTTGCGTTGAGGGATTACTTGAGTAGAGGCCAAATGTCCATCTGCTACCTTAACATTTAACATATAAATATATGTACATAGATATATTTCCCTACTGTTATATATAAATATATTTACATATGTACAGGCCTATGTTTAGACCTCTATAAATTTCCTTTGCCTCCTAGTTCCTTCTTCTATTTCAGTGGTTCTCAACCTTCCTAAGGCCACGACCCTTTCATACAGTTCCTCATGTTGTGGTGACCCCCCAACCATAAAATTATTTTCGCTGCTACTTCTAACTGTAATTTTGCTACTGCTATGAATCTGGCAACCCCTGTGAAAGGGTCATCGACTCCCCAAAGGGGTCGCAACCCACAGGCTGAGAACTGCTGCTCTATTTCCTTTTACTTTTCTTTTGTCCCATTATCATATTTGGTCAAGAAGACATTTTTAAATAATGGCTCTAACTGTAAATCCTATGTTCCAGTAGTGTCCAGAGCACATTCAAAACATTATTTCCATTTTTCCACTGTTGTGAGATTCCAGACAGCACTCAAAAGCAAAATTCACTGCCATCGAGTCAGTTCTGACCCATAGTGCCCCCATGCACAATAGAAGGAAATGCTGCCTGGCCCTTTGCCACCCTCACCATTGTTACCATGCTTGAGCCCATTGTTGCAGCGATTGTGCCAATCCATCTCATTGAGGACCTTCCTCCTTTTAGCTAATCTACCAAGCAGGATGTCCATCTCCAGGAACTGGCCTCTCTTGACAACATGTCCAAAGGATGTAAGTCTCGCCATCCTTGCCTCAAAGGAGCACACTGGCCGTACTTCTCCCAAGACAGACTTTCCATATTCTTCTCCAGCACCACAATTCAAATGCACTGATGCCAGAAGAAGCCAGCTCCTAGCACATCAGTACGGGTTCGGTAGGCGCAATTGTGCAGTGATCATAAGTAAAGATTACATTAAAGTTATAGAGAGCATGAGAGATAGAAGAGAAATATAGAAATAAATGGAGTCAGACACAATTCATGGTAGCATGCTCACCTCAGCCCCGCTTGGTGGTCCACGTGGAGGGAGAGAGAGAATCTTTAATGCAAGCCCCCTAATTACAGGTGAAGACATACGTCACAGGAAGGGGCTGTGCTATAGGTATCACAGTAATGAGAGGGGGCGATCTAGGGATATCCACGCAATAGGAAGAGGAGGGATTGGGGGTATACATATGGCAAGATGGGCAGATCCTAGATTTCAGATGGCAGCTTAACTTGACCTGTTCTCTGGGTCTCCATAGGAACCATTATAAGTAAGATGTGAACTCCTCCTACTGGAGCCTGTCCATTGTCCCTAGCAGCAGGGAGTAGGCCCACCCCTATGATGTGGGGAGACAGCGGTCTGGCAGCAGGGAAGATGTTTGTGAGCTGACCTCTGCCCACACACTGATTCTTCTAGGGTCTTCCTTATTTAATGTCCAACTTTCACATGCATCTGAGGCCATTGAAAATACCATGGCTTGCGGCTGAATTGCCTGTCCCTTGACACAAAGTAGGAGGGAGTTGCGGGGTGCGGGTGGGGGCCTGGGAAGTCGCCCAGGTGTCTGCAGCGCAGAGTTTATCTTGAGGCCATGGGAATAGGGGGAATCAGAGGGGCTCGGGCATTGCTCTCTCAAAAGGCCTTAAGATAGGCTTTTCACATCATCTTCATGCACGTTACACATTCTGGGCCAGAATTGGATGGGCAGAACTAAAGGTAAATACTCCCCGAATAGCAGTGGCTGTATTCCATTACCAAGGAAAGGAAGCCCAGCCCAGAGAAGAGCCAGGGCGTGGACTGCTGACGAGGATCCTGAGGAGGACCGAGTTGACCCTCTCTAAGGGCACCCTTGGCGTGGAGGATACTCAGGTTCAAGGTCAGCCCAAGAAGACTATTCCTACTACCGAAGAAGAGATCACCAAGGGCAGACCAAGCAAGCTGTCTCCCTACCGCCATCGGCGATGCTCAGAACCGCTTGACCAGTGGGGACAGGAGAGTGGCGAGCCCTTCCTCCCCAGCTCTGAGGGAGTCTGAAGGGGAGGGGCAGGGATGGTAGATTAGGCACCCTCCCCCATCCACTACCCTTCTCCTGTCTCCCTTCTGGCCTTTGTTGGGGAAGGGGAAACCTTTTTATTTGGATAGGAGATTAAAGTTCTAAAGTAAATTGGATTGCTTTATTAAAGAAGCTATCAGGGAGTAATCGAATCTGCTTGAGATGTTGTCGCGTGATTGGAATGG